GAAATCTACGACCTGACTCCAGTAGGCATTGAAAAGCTTCTTGACCTAAAAAATATCACATACCTCAAGACGGCTAAGAATGGTCACTACGGCAAACATCCAACGGCCGACTGTTTCACTTGGGAGCACGTATTGAACGATGTTCCTAAGTTCCAAGAGAAGTTGGGCGAATATCTATAAGCGTATCCGAAAAGATATAGCACAAAAGGCATCTTCGGATGCCTTTTCTATGCGATAGTAAGGGGTTGAAATGTTCGAAATCAAAGTGAGTGCTCAAGAGCAAGACCGTGAAGGTATCTCGCCTCCACACGTCCTCATGCCTAAGGAAGAGCGCAAGTTGTGGATTCTCCGTTGGATCAAAGAGCACAAGGAAATGTCTCTTTCTTTTCCTGATCGTCAGGCAGTCGAGGAATATGTTAAAGCGACTGGGGTGCGTCTATCGGGCAATGGGGAGTGCTCTGATCTAAAGACCTGCATCAAAGAGATGGTTCAAGCGAAGTACATCAAACTTGAATATATCCGAAAGACATGTCAAATCGCGTATGGGGAGAAGAAAGGCTACTATGCGTACATTCCTGATGTATATTTCGATTTCTTATTGAAGTTGAATAAGACCTCCACGGAAATCACACTCCCCTCTTTATTTGACTAAAGCAAATGATTAATTTATCTCTGCTAGTGGACAAGGAACGTCATGCTCACTTAAACCTTGAGTTAATGAATGACTGCGTCCACGAATATGTTTACTCCTTCAATTACCGCTTTCAATTCAAACGTAAGTCTGCACGCAAGCTGGACTTCGTCACTACTCGTAGGCTATCTATCTACAAATGCCTGAAATGTGGGAAGGGTGAACTGCGTACTCCAACAGAGAGCGACTATCAAGAAAGCTATTCTAGAGATTTGCGCTGATTTACGATTTTTTAAGGGTATTGGGGTTTAAGCTATTTAGCGATTGGTTTTGATTGGGTTGGGCTGGGACTAGCCAAAATGATGCTGGATTTGGCATGGTTTACAGATTGTTTGGATTGGAAGAAAGGAAAGCAAAAAGATGAAAGGTTTACAAGAAGGTGCATACGTATTAGGTACTCAATGGGCTGATGGAGATTCTCGTGAGCCGTGGGCAATCGGATACTTTGCAGGAGTCTCTAGCACAGGCAAATATAAGATTCGTATGGAGACGGGTAAGATCTCTGAGCATGAATTTAGCGTATGCAAAGAAATCACTCAAGAGCAAGCTCAACGGGTACTAAATCACAAGAATAAAATAAACGATAGTCCCGTGTCTTTATGGAAGTACATCGACTCGAAGGAAGAGCAACTGCTACAACATAAGGAATTACTGACGTCTAAAGGAGTACAAGTTACTCATATCGTGGCTATCGATGTTGGAAGTTGCATAGGAAAGGATAATCAACTTCAATGGGACGTCAAGCCGGACATGAAACGCTTCTCTCAAATGACTAGCGGTCACGTCATCCTCATGGGACGAAAGACGTTTGAATCCTTGGGCCGAGTTCTTCCTCGTCGTGAGCACGTTGTCTTGACACGTGACGAAGAATATGCTGTTCCTGAGGGCGTGACTGTGGCGTACAATTTAGAGCAAGCCCTCAACAGTTGTCTTGGGCTGATCAAGCGCAAAGACCTTCCAAAGAACATTTATGTGATAGGCGGAGCTGAGATCTACAACATGACAATGCCTCTAGCAGACAAGCTGGAAGTCACTCACGTTCAAACACACGTAAAGGACGGCGATGCGTTCTATCCTCATATCCCTAAAGACATGCAATCTACCTCATGGGTCAACTACAAAGAAGACCTTGAGACCAACACCCCTGCATATAGCTTTGCAACTTACGAGTATGTAAAGTAATTCGTCCATGTGCTCCTATATCCTGAAATAGGAGCACAGCCATGACCTCACATCTTGCAAAGAGATCCTCCCCTACATTAAGCCACTTGCCCCTTGAGGAATTAATTAAGCTGGGGGATCAACTGACGAATCAAATGCTCATAGACGCCAGAGAACACACCAACCAATTCGGTGAAGAACCTGATCTAGTCTTTGTCCATCCTCAAACAGGCTTGAACCTTCGTCAATATTTCTTGAACAAGTATGAAACTTTCAGCATCACAGATGTTCGAAGTAGAGAGACCT